CCTTGTCTGTCAGTTGGGCTGGGTCTCCAACATGCTAGTGTTTCTAGCAGACAAACGGAGACCCTTAATAAAAATACAATAATATAAATTCGTGTAAATACATAGGCCATTTTGTGCATGAAAGCGATCCCCGTCTTCTGTGCGCATTCTTGACAAAACAGATACCAGTAAACTTTTTGTAAGCTTAACAAGTAGGCCTAACTGCCAGTCAACTTATTCAGACTTTACAGTATCGAAGTATGACCAGGCTATACGCTCTGTAGCTTAATGAAACATTACACAAACTGCCAAGCCTTGATTGCTATACGTTTATAGCGAATAAAAGACTCATTATTAGTAGTATAAAACCGATTAAAAGGAATAAGGTTAACCAAGGTTAATATACCCCCCCCCCCCTTCCCGACCCTTTCTACCTAGTGTAAGTCTGTTGATCAAACCCTGACCTTGCAGCAAAATGCCAGACTTTTTCGAATACATGTGTGCTGGAAGACAAACTCACGAAAAACAAGATAACTAAAATAAAAGTTGCTTTATTTTAATTTTTTAAATTCAGATCAAAGATATGATTTGTGAATAACGAGTCCACTAATAAAGAAGGGATTGGCTGAATACTATTCACAAGAGGTTGGGAATATCACCAGCCATAGAGGGATCCTATTGGCTGTGAGCGCCTCTGGTGGTCTGGCCTGACCAATCAGACGCGAGCGGTAAACAAAATCTCCCATTTGTAAAGATCAATAAAACAGACTCACAACAGGCAAGGCACACACACACAGCTGATCCTTTCCTGGGTTTATCAATTCACCGGTAAGAGAAAAAGTAAGACGATTGCATCAAATTCAAAAGCTATCGTATATTATCGATAAATGCATTACATTATTTTGAAGTGTCCTGTTAACAGTCTGTCTGTTCACCAACAGTTTTACTTCAAGGAGACACGACTTTCTTTTCGTTCAAACTGGGCAAATACTATTGTAATACTAACAAATACATAATACGCTGACTGCTAGAACCTACCTCTGTCTACTGTCTAGAATCTAGATTAGATCTATATATCTAGATCTATATCTAGATATCTAGATCTAGATCTAGAATATAGATTCTAGATCTAGATCTATATCTAGGTACAATGGTACTGCAGTTCAGACAGTTATCAATAGTTGAAGGACAGTCAAGAGTCCTGACATTTTTCTAAGGCCGGCCGGCACTATCACTAGATTTAGATCTATTTCTCCGAACGTTCGGGAAAATAAAGCTGGGCACTATTTCTCCTAACGTTCGGGAAAAATAAAGCTGGGCACTATTTCTCCGAACGTTCAGGAAAATAAAGCTGGGCACTATTTCTCCGAACACTCTGAAATAGGGCCTACCATCCTTTCCCCAAAATTTCGGATATTATATAGAATCTAGATCTATAATTATAGTATGGGCCTACCAAAGATTGTTCGTATACAATATGGTTCAATCGGTCCAAAAAATGTCCGCCGTAAATATTTATATAAAGAAATGCTACAATTCCAAACAGTTTTTCGCTATAGATATAATGACGTGTTGCCTATGAAGGG